CAGTGGGAGTGATTTAGGTCCAGGAAAGGAGCGGGTTGCAGGGTGAGGTGATGCCGTGGCAGCAGTGACAGCGTGGGACAGGGCAGCAGGCGGTGCTGGAGGGTGACAGGGACATAAAAGAGCTCCGAAAGGTTGGCGGGAGCTGCAGCCCCGAGCTGGGCAGCGTTTCTTTATTGCTCCATTAAGCGMCAGGTCCGTCCCGCTGGGAGCGCCTGGCACGGAGGGGACCCGTGGGGAATGACTGAGCTCTGCCAGCAGCCTGCGGGGAGGATTTGAGCGGCGAGGGCTCCACAGCAGCTCCCCCTGCTCATCTGGAGATCCCTGAGCCSCCGGGCTTTTCTGGCTCCTGTTTAGCAGCATTTATCACTAACCCGCGCGTTGCCGGGATTTTTTATTTCAATTTTTATTTAATTCATCTTTTCTTTTTATTTTGCTCTTTTCCAAACCCAGTAAGAAGAAGGAAATCCAARTTTTGGCACAACCCCCGAAGTCCCAAACTCTCCACGTTTGACCATTGAGAAATGAGGTCCCCAAAGGAGCAGTTTGGAGCAGAAAACATCCGTGTCCTCCTCYCTCCTCGGGCTGGCTGGGGACGTGCTGCCATCTCTGGAGAGGACGGGGATACGGCAGCCCCGGGAACAGCGGGGATTTATCCTCGCCCGGAGGCAGCAGCGGCGGGCTGGAGACTCGCAGTCTGTTCCCACATCGGGCTGAATCCCRGGAAGGGCAGGATCGCGATTAAAAGCGCTGCCCGAGCCAGAGGARCGCGATCCCAGCCGGGGAGGGGGATGCTGCAGGGATGGGGGGGGGTCACTCGTGGCTCCGTGATTTCGTTCCTGTGGTGATAAACTCATGGATGGGGCAGGGATGTGGCGTTTGTATCACCCCGTGGCTCAGGTGGAGTCTGGTTTTGCTCCTTCGTAAAAAACCTGATTAGGTTTGTGCCAATTTAATCACAGCTTTCTACGGATCGTGGTTACTCTGGGATCTAAACACTCACACCGTGGGGCAGGGACCTTCCCTGGGACAGGGACCTTTATTGGGGCACGGACCTTTTTTGGGGCAGGGACCTTTATTGGGGCAGGAACCTTTATTGGGACAGGGACCTTTTTGGGGGCAGGGATCTTTCCTGGGACAGGAACTTTTCCTGGGACAAGAACCTTTATTGGGACAGGAACCTCTCCTGGAGCAGGGACCTTTATTGGGGCAGGGACCTTTATTGAGACAGGAACATTTCCTGGAACAGGGACCTTTATTGGAGCGGGGACCTTCCCTGGAGCAGGGACCTTTAGTGGGACAGGGACCTTTTTTGGGACAGGGACCTTTCCTGGGACAGGGACCTTTTTTGGGGCAGGGACCTCTCTTGGGGCAGGGACCTTTCCTGGGGCCTTCTCTGGGGCAGGGACTTTTTCTGGGACAGGAACTTCTCCTGGGTCAGGGACCTTTACTGGGGCAGGGACCTCTCCTGGGACAGGGACCTTCCCTGCAGCCTTTCCTGGGACAGGGACATTCCCTGTGGCATGGATCTCTCCTGTGGCAAGAACCTCTCCTGAAGCAGGGACTTTTCCCAGGACAAGGCCTTTCCAGGAGCGAATCCTCACCGGGATCACAGGCAGATGATGCCCTGCACACACGGAGCACCCCCAGCTCATGTTGATCACTGGATCCACGATCTCAGAATTCTTTTCCCTCAACGATCATTCCATGACTCTGCACTGCTGAACACCCCCAGTCTGGCCGTGCCTGGTCTGTCTGTCCTGAGGGAACACGGGTCTGTTTGGGGGAGCAGATCCCGGTTTATAGGGGGCACAGCAAGGTTTTGTAGGGCCGTTATCTCATCCGGCCGCGGCGGAGCAGATCCCGGGAAAGCCCCAGCTCAGAGCTGTTGACTCTGCAGCCCCACGTGAGCCATCTCCAAGTCGATACCATGCCGGTAACATGAAACCAATCCATGAACCAACCTTCATTTCCTTCTTTCCCTTCAGAAAACCCCGAGGAGAGGTGCCCCAGGTGCCCCCAAAATATCCCCAAACACAGCTCTGCTCTTTTCTCCAGCCTGGAAAGCCCAGCTGCTCAAACAGCCAGAGCCAACCTCAGCAGGTCACCTCTAAAAATCTCCAAGACAGAGTTTGTTCCTTCAAACCCAGAATCTGTTTKGCACCAAGAGTAAACATCACGTGAGAGCGGGCAGGAACGGCTACACCTTGCAAGGCTTGGCTGAAACAGAGGAGAGAAATATTCTCTGTCTCCTCCAAGGGCACTAAACAGTTGGTCATCGTAATTTTTTTTTTTTTTTTGGCCTAAATGGTCACTTGAGGCAGATATTAAATCCAGTTAATACGTGTGGTTGAGGGGAAATGGATCTTCCATTAAAATGGTCGCTCCCTTGCACGCTTTCACCGAGAGATTGCGCATCCCAGGCTCTGTGTTCTCTCAATTACCGCTCTCATTAAGGCTCGGGATGGTCATAAATACTGAATTTAAATRATTACARCAGAACAGGTACAGCTGARTAACACAAATGCAGCACTGGCGCTCGGAGGAATCGATTTTCCAGGGAACAGCGAGAGAACAGCGGATAAAGCACAGCCCTGCTCCCGGGATATGGAAGATCCTGGGCAGGGATGGAGGGTGGGTGGGGAGGGATGATGGGAATCCCATGGAGGGATCCCGCCCGCCCTCCAGCTCCTCATCACACCAGGAATTACTGCTCAAATTTCCCGACACCCCAAAGGCTCCTTCCTGCCCCTCACCCGGTCTGGGGACACCCCAAACCCGATCCCGATAAACGGCCTTGGCATGAAATGGGATCGTGTGCAGGACAAGGTGGTGAAACGGGGCTCTGAACCACTTTTATTCCACGGGAACACATCCTCCTGTGAGTACCCCCTGCCCTGAACCTCAYTCCAAACCCCTCCTGCTTTCCTGGAGCCGGGCGCTCCGCAATCCCTCCACAAAGCTCTGCCGCTCGGAATATCCACAAATCCCCGGGAGCCCCGCCCCGGTTCCTCTCCRGAGCCAAACTCAGCTTGGGGAGGGCACGGAAACCCTTCACAGCGTCCCTCGCAGCGAGCTGGACGCCGTCCCTGCCTGCCACCGCCCTGCGCCTCCTCGGGATGCTCCGGGGGCAGGGATGCGGGGCCGAAGGCTCGCTCCTCATCCTCGCCAGCCTCCGCCGGCTTCTGCGGCAGCGCCGCGCTCAGGGGATGCCGAGCGGCGGCGAGTCTGTCCTGCGCCAGCCCGGGGGACAAAACTGGCTGTCACCGCCCGGAGAGGAGCCTCGCAGGGAGGCTTTGCGGGAATTGAGCCTCCGGCACACCCTGCGGACGAAGGTGCGGAACACGGAGGTGCGGAAGATGATGAACACCCAGGGGTCCACGATGGAGTTGACGGAGAGGAAGCGCAGCGCGCTCAGGTCGGCGTTCTCGTTGAAATCGGCGGCGAAGGCACCCATGTACACACGGATCTGGCAAAAAAAAATATACAGGAAATAGGGGGAAATTAGGGAAGGTCAAGGAAATAAATAGGGGGAAATTAGGAAAAATTAAGGAAATAGAGGGAAATTAGGGAAGGTCAAGGAAATAGGGGGAAATAAGGAAAGGTCAAGGAAATAAATAGGGGGAAATTAGGAAAAGTCAAGGAAATAGGGGGAAATTAGGGAAGGTCAAGGAAATAGGGGAATTAGGAAAGGTCAGGGAAATGGGGGGAAATTAGGGATGGTCAAGGAAATAGGGGGAAATTAGGGAAGGTCAAGGAAATAAATAGGGGGAAATTAGGGAAGGTCAAGGAAATAAATAGGGGGAAATTAGGGAAGGTCTTGCTACGGAGGGGATAAAAATTTATGTGAGGGCATCAAAAGAAGTTTGAATCCCTCTTTATCCCTGTGGATTGCATCAGGACGTGCTGTGGGTTGCAGACCCATCTGGGAA